AGGATGGACATGTCGTCTGAGGAATGGGAGGGGGAGTTGAAATGATTCGAGACTGGGAGGTGCAGTTGTTTAGTGCGAACTGAGCATAGGTGTTCTGCAAAGCGGTCCCCTAGACCCTTCTTCAGAAATGATTTCAGATTCTCCAGTTCCTACTATCTCTGAAACAATTTTAACCCCACTGCGCAGCCTCTTCACAGTACCTGACCCTGCTCTGCCCTTACACCTCCCAAACCTGGAACCTGTGCTGTATAGGTTGTGTGGGTACACAGCCTGTTGATTGAGCTCAGAGCCAGGCAGCATTTCGTAAGGCATTTGTTGAGGTTCGTCATCACCTGCTTGATGAGCCTGGCATTTACATGTCACCCACCATTTGCCATCAGGAAGTGCGCGTGGCAGGAGTGATATCAGACTAAAACCATACCTTAGTCCAGGTGACTGAGGCTCTATTTAAGGTGGGGGGTGGGGGGCCGGGGGGGGGGGGTCCATAAAGTAGTGAAACGGGAAGAGAGCTTTAGGGTGGGGATTCCAGGCTGGGCTGTCAATGCTGGAGCCATTCAATAGTGGGCATCACTGGCAAGGCCAGCAGAGGGCAGTGAAGAGTCCACCTCCTTGGTGTGGGTCTGGAGTCACTTGTAGGGTTGAATGGTCACTGGGAGATGAGAGGTTAACCAGGTGGGCATTGGATAGTCAAGTCTTGAAGTAACTGAGGTTTCGGCAGCAGACATTCTGACAGGGACACTTGGGCATCACTGCAGATGTTGAACTCTGGGACTTCAGTGCAGGCACAGATAACGTAGTTTGGCTCCTTTAAAATAAGCTATCAGGATTGCCCATTGGTCAGGAGGGGAGAGATAGAGTTGGTAGCTCGCGTCTGTATCCCCTAATATTTGGAGGAAATCCCCTCTCCAGGTTAGGCTGTCTAATCCTGTTGAGGTGGAGGATGAGGTTGAGGCTGTGAGCTTGGGGGTTTCCAAGAGACACCGCGTGAAAATGAGGAATGGAGCAGTGGGTGGAGTTGAGCAGGAAGGGAAAATCAGAGGTAAAAGTGAGGGAACAGAAAGAGAGAAGAGATCGTGGGTGCAACTGGATTTATGAGGAAGCAGCCAGGGGGTGGCAGCACTGACACTAACAGAGAAATTTGAATCTGCTCACTGACTTCTTCAAAATCTACTTCTTCCCAATTCGACTTGATCCCCAAACCCCATTCCAAGTACTTGTCCACTGCCTCAGTTTGAACGGGCTGTAGGCCATTGTTGGAGCTGGCGATCGTAGAATCATGCAGTACGAGGAGGCCCTTCAGCCCATCAAATCTTTACTGCCAAAGCTACACTATGTCTACACTAGATTATAGAAAAGAACATAGAACAGTACAACACAAAGACAGGCCCTTTGGCCTACCATGCCTGTGCCGACCATGCTGCCATTCTAAACTAATCCCATCTGCCTGCACATGGTCTGAATCCCTCTACTCCCAGTGTGTTCATGTGTTTATCCAAATGCTGCTTAAATGTTGCTGTCAAATCTGGTTTTACTGCCTCCCCTGACAGCATGTTCTAGGTATCTACTACCCTCTGTACAATAAAAACGTGCCTCATACATTTCCTTTAAACAGTTCCCCCTCTCACCTTAAACCTATGCCCTTGAGTATTTGACATTTCCACCCTGGGAAAAAGAATCTGACTATCCATGCCCCCTATAATTTTATATACTTCTATTAAGTCGTCCCCCAGCCCCTGCCGCTCTAGCGAAAACAGTCCAAGTTCGTCCAAACTCTCCTCATAGCTAATCCATTTCAATCCAGTTTACATTCTGGTAAATCTCTCCAAAGCCTCCGTATTCTTCTTATAGTGTGGTGACCAGAACTGCACGCAGCACTCCAAAGGTGGCCTAACTAAAGCAGCACCATGATTCGCCAACGTTTATACTCAGTGCCCCAACTGATGAAGGCAAGCTGTGTGTCTTCTGTACCACCTTATCCACTTGTGTTGCCATTTTCAGGGAGCTATTGTCTTGTACTCCAAGATCCCTCTGTCCAACAATGCTCCTAAGAGTCTTGTCATTTATCATATACTTTCCTCTTGCATTTGACGTTCCAAAACATATCACCCTCCATTTGTCCAGATTAATCTTCATCTGCCATCCATCCGCCCAGTTTTCCAACTGATCTATATCTTGCTGTATCCTTTGACAACCTTCCTATCTACAACTCTACTAATTTTCATGTGTGAAAACTTACTAATCTGATCATCCACATTTTCATAGAGTCAGACAGATATACAGCACAGAAAAAGACCTTTCGGTCCAACTTGCACATGCTGACCCAGATATCCTAAATTAATCAAGTCCCATTTACTAGCATTTGGCCCATATCCCTCCAAAACCTTCCTATTCATAAACACATCCAGATGTCTTTTAAATATTGTAATTATATCAGCTTCCACCACTTCCTCTGGCAGCTCATTCCATACACACACCACCCTCTGTATGAAAAAGTTGCCCCTTAGGTCCCTTTTAAATCTTTCCTCTCTCACCTTAAACCTATGTCCTCTAGTTCTGGACCACCCCAACCCCTGGCAAAAGACTTTGTCTATTCACTTTGTCTATCCACGCCCCTCATGATTTTATAAATCTCTATAAGATCACCCCTCAGCCTCCAACGTTCCAGGGAAAATAACTCCAATCTATTCAGCCTCTCCCGATAGCTCAAACCCCCCCAACCCTGGCAACATCCTTGTAAATCTTTTTTGAACCCTTTCAAGTTTCTTCCTATAGCAGGGAGACCAGAATTGTATGCAGTATTCCAGTAGTGGCCTAACCAATGTACTGTACAGCAGCAACATGACCTCCCAACTGCTATACTCAATGCACTGACCAATAAAGGCAAGCATACTAAACACCTTCACCTCCCTGTCTACCTGTGACTCCACTTTCAAGGAACTGTGAGCCTGTGCCCCAAGGTCTCTCTGTTTGGCAACACTCCCCAGGACCTTATCATTAGGTGTATAAGTCCTGCCTTTCCAAAATACAGCACCTCACATTTATCTAAATTAAACTCCATCTGCCACTCCTCGGCCTACTGGCCCATCTGATCAAGGTCCTGTTGTACTCTGAGGTAACCCTCTTTGCTGTCCCCTACACCCCCAATTTTGGTGTCATCTGCAAACTTTCTAAACATCCAAATCATTTATATATATTGCAAACAACAGGGGTCCCAGCACTGATCACTGTGGAACACCACTGGTCACAAACCACCAGTCAGAAAATACCCCTCCACAACTACCCAGTGTCTTCTATGATCAAGTCAATTTTGTATCCAACATACCAACTCACCATGGATCTTATGTAATTTAATCTTCTGGACCAGCCAACCACAAGGGATCTTGTCAAATGCTTTAGTAAAGTCCATGTAGACAACATCCACTGCTCTACCCTCATCAATCATCTTTGTCACTTCCTCAAAAAACTCAGATTTTTGATACAGGGCCTCCCTTGCACAAAGCCACGCTAACAACGCCCCCCCTCTTCCGTCACCAGCCCCATAAGTCTTGAATCTTATGACACTTCGAGTGCTCATCCAAGTACTTTTTAAAGGTTGTGTGGTTACCCATCTCAGCTACCCTTGCAGACAGTGCATTCCAGATCCCAATCATCCTCTGGGTGAGAAAGATTTTCCTCAAGTTCCCTCTAAACCTCTTGCCTTTCACTTGGAAAATTAAGCCCCCTTGTTATTGAACATTCGGCTAACAATCAAACTGGATAGTGCAGCTCCAACAACACTCAAGAAGCTCAATACCATCCAGGACAAAGCAGCCTACTTTGGCACCAAATCCTCAAGCATCCACTGCTTCCACCAGCTTTCAGTCGCAGCAGTGTGTACCATTTACAAGATGTACATGCAGACATTCACCAAAGATCCTTAGCACTTTCCGAACATATGACCACTTCCATCCAGAAGCTTAAGGGCAGGGCACACATGGGAACTCCACCCCCTGCAAGTTCCCCTCCATGCCACTCACCATGCTGACTTGGAAATATATTGGCTGTTGCTTCACATGGCTGGATCAAAATCCTGGAATTCCCTCCCTAAGGGGATCGTTGCACAGGAACTGCAGTGGCTTAAGAAGGTGGCTCACCCCCACCCTGTCAAGGGCAACTAGGGGCGGGCAATCAGTGACCAGCCAGCACACCTATATCACACGAGTGATTTAAAAAGACCAGTCTGTGACTGGCCCCTCCAAATGTCCACATTATCTGCGCGATTGGCACCAATCAATGTCATCAAGGACATTGTTTCAGAGATAGTAGGAACTGCAGATGCTGGAGAATCTGAAATCATTTCTGAAGGAGGGTCTAGGCCCGAAACGTCAGCTGTCCTGATCCTCTGATGCTGCTTGGCCTGCTGTGTTCATCCAGATCTACACCTTGTTATCTCATCAAGAACATTGCTGACTGGGCTGGGCCTCCACATGAACATCTCTTCCAGGCTGCATTCCATCGCCCCAAGGCGAAAGGTGACACTGGCCAGCAGCAGCTGCACTTCCCCTTTCTCCCTCATGATCGGGTTATCCTTTGGCAGGAGGGAGATATCATGGCAACTTTGGGCGAAGTCAGTATTCAGCAACAAGCACAGGCTGAGACCAGAGATCCCGAAACACCAAACAAGGTGGCGAGATTAATTTTTAATACACAAATGGGATGTGGGCATCGCTGGCAAGGCTGACATTCAGTGCCCCTTTGCTCCAACAACCAAATGCCTCACTCGGGGCCATTTCGGAGGGCAGTTAAGATTTGCCCCCACCTCCCCACTGGAGTTGTGCAGACCCAGACCCAGGGAAGGTCAGCGGATTTCCCATCAGTGAACCCCGATGGGGTTTTTAACCACCATCGATGATGCCTGTCACGGTCACCATCCCCGGGATTAGCTCCCAATTCCAGATTTGTTTGATTGTATTTAAATTCCACCGGGGGCCGTGGTGGGATTCGAACCGGTGTTTCCCCCAGACCCTGGGGTGGACCACCTCCCCTGAATGTTGAGGGCCTGTGTTTCAACGCATCCTCTGAACTCCGCGCTCAGTGAACTGCAGTGTCGGCTGAGAGGCGGGATGCAGAGCACGGCAAGATCCCACCAGCAACCAGTCCTTGCTGCGCAGAAGGAGGCCACTCAGCCCATTGACACCCCAGCTCGCTCTGCCGAGCAATTTAGTCAGGCCCACTTCCCCATCATTCCCCGGCCCACACTCTCCCGCTGTAGCCTCCCCCTCGCATGGGGGTTGATTTCCCTCGAATGCCTGTCCGATTTTGTGGGCAGCAGGTTCCTGGTAAAATATTGCCCTCCTGTTCCCATCCATACCTGCCCAGTCCTTGTCCCATCTGCAAAAGGGAGCAATTTTACTTCCTCGACCTGAGCCGACCCTCTCCCAATCCCATGCCCCTCCGTCAAATTCCACCCTCCCACGCTCCTCACCAGTTCCCCTCCAGGGTGAGCAGCCCCAGCCATCCCTCTGCCCTCCTCCCCAGCACCAAATACCCCGAACCCTGACCTCACGTCTCACAACCTTCATATCCTGGCTACCATTCTGGTCAATCTCAAGAACACACTTCCCGGAACCCAACCCAGTACTCTAGCTGGGGGGCTTAACCCGGGATTTCCCATCGACGATCAGAGTAAACCTCCTGCACGTTGTCTCTCCTTACTCCTGAAGCCCAGCTGCTTTGCCTGACAACCCTCGATCTGTCCCACTTCGCCTCTGACAGAGATGCAGAACACCTTGTGCACCCCCCCGCCAACCCCTCCATTGGCTGCATCTCCCATGCCTGTTGGAGCTCTGGTGCTGTTGTGTCTCTTGATCGCCTCTGCAGAGGCAGATCTGTCACAGTTTGATTGGGAAGAGGCTTTGCAGGGTGGGAATCTGCAGAGGCAGATCTGTCACAGTTGATTGGAAAGAAGCTTTGCAGGGTGGGAAGTAGCCTTCCTGCTCTTATGATGCTGCTTGGCCTGCTGTGTTCATCCAGCTTTACACCTTGTTATCACAGTTGATTGGAAAGAGGCTTTGCAGGGTGGGAATCTGCAGAGGTAGATCTGTCACAGTTGATTGGAAAGAGGCTTTGCAGGGTGGGAATCTGCAGAGACAGATCTGTCACAGT